CGGTAAATACTACTAGGTGGAAAAATGACTGCCATTCGAAATACTGTAGTGAAAAATGAAGGACAAAAAATTAATGGTAATACCAATCTTGAGAATAATGTTCAATTTATGGAAAATTTGTCACACGAAAGTTCTCACTTTTCAGCGAATGTAAGTTTTTTGAATTCATATTATATTGTTGTTATTGTTTGCATTTTTCATATCTTTAAAAAGGTCATTAGCATTCTGCAGTTGTTGGTTTCGACTCACGTGCCTCTCTGATTGGATATATCAACGGAATATGTTGATTACCATTATCTTCAAAAAAAAAAAAAACAAAAGTGGAACGCGAACGTGGAGATCATTTGTTCAATTATAATTAACGTTGTTGTAAAGTCTATTTATGAGGCATATTTTTTAAATTATAAGGACAAGGACATATCCAGCTGTTTTCTTTTACTTGCGCTATCGCTTTCTCTTTGTGCTGTGATATGATCCTGAAATTTAAAAACTTATTCATTTATTGCATATTTTTCTTTGGATACATAGCTGCACAGATAATGTGTAATAGGTTCTTTTGGATTGGGTGCATTATGTTTATCGTGAGTTAATATGCTGTACGATACATTTTCACTTATTTTGGTTATAAATTGATGATTCCGCTTCATTATGTAATATAGCGAGTAAAATGCCACACAGATAACCACTGACTTTTTCGCTACCATGTTATACTTGAAGTTGGTAAATTCAATACATAAAATGCAAAGTTATTCAAACATGTGACAGGTAATCGAAACAGATGGCATCTGTCTTAGGTTTCGTGATCCAAAATTTGATGAAAGAAAACAGATACCTTTAAAAAAGGAACTTTTAATAGGCAGTATTGACAAGTAAAACGTGTAACAGGTTTGTTGAAAGAGTACAGTGGTGTAATTCAAAGTGATGTTTATTAGCAATTTTAATGCATTCCATTCACCGATGGTTCCCGCACTCTATCCATAGTTGTAGGTGAAAAAATTTGATTTGTACTCCTTAGAATTTAGTCTTAGAAAGACCTCTGATCTCATAAATCTCATAAGAATATTATACAGTGCTGATTTATTTATTTATCTCCTAATCTCGTCCAATCTGTCTATAACCGCGAATCAGTCACCGCTTGTCCTAATTATTACTGATTACACGTCACTAAAATGACAAGTAGTGACACAAAGTATTCTCACGTAATTGGTTCCAATAAATGACATTACGGAACACTCGCATCAATTTCACTTCCTAATTTCTCAATTCTTCTGAAAATATTTAGGTTATTCTGTATCCGCATCCGACTCTAACCAGGATTTAACGAAGTGTCGTATGATGTATCACACCCTTATTTTCACGGACCGGTTTAGTATATAATACGGTTGGATGACGTGATATTCGCTGTTCTTTCTTGTATCGCGACATTTGCGCCATAATTGGGAATACATATGAAATGGTATTTTCCATGGTATTATATTGACGTCCAGTGACAATTCCCAACTCTCGGATAAGATAGTGATACCTTACCTAGTTTTGAGCAATAGCATAGTTTTATGCTGAGAAAGTAACAGTTTTACGCTGTATTTGGACAGAATATGTATTTCAGGTAATAAAGTAATGAGTGTTGTGACTTGAACATCCGTTATCCAACGGTATGACGCTAAATGTGTTAACACATCAAAACGATATTCTATCTGCTTACGATGTTGTACTCAAATCGCCAGGCTATGACCACTGGTCTGTCTAAATCATTTTGTTCGCTTACTTAAATTGACTTAAATTCATTGACTGTTCAAATTCATTGAGTCTTTGTTCTGTACATGTTTAAAATCTCTAAGGTCATGTTTTAATTTCCAGTTCGTATAAAAATTTTTAAATCTAATTACTAATTTATATGAACAAATAACGCCTATGTCTCATCATATATATTGTATCACACCTTTTTAATTTTTTTACACATCCGTTTATGCTTTTCATTATAGCTCTTGTGGAGATGTAGGAGTCGATCTTATCGACGTTACTTGAAACGTTAACGAATTATTTTGATAACCTTTGAAAATATATCAAAAATTTATGGAGGAAATCTTTGAAAACACTTCTTTGTTCGAATTACGCTTTAGAAATTGCTTTTTAGGGTAATTCTGGAATATGAAAGCAACTCGAATATCATTAAGGTGGCAGATACTGGAGGTTTGTTTACTATGACAAACTTTAAGGAGTGGTTAACAATGATAGTTGTGTAACAAACTACTATAATGATTTTCTGAATGTGACGGGGCAAGTGTATTGCATATAGCTGTATATACGAAATGTGTGCTACGACCTTTTAATATGGAGCAAAAAATTAATATCCGTTTTTGGATGTAATGCTTTGATAGATGGTGGTATGGAAGAATTGTCGAGGAGCTTTGCAGCCGGAAGATTGCAGTATGGCATCGGAGCTGTCAAATGGGGTGCTTCCTCGAGTGCAAAAATCGTCCTTATCCAGTGGGTGAGATTTTTCATTTGTGTAACTTCATTGCTTGGATGCTTCATTCATATTTTCTATGATGCAAAGAAAAACTTCCTTAGAAAGCATCTTTCAGCAGGGTGAAGGTGTTCCATCGTCACGTTTAGTTACAACAGCTAATCATGGTACAGAACTGAAACGGTTCTTGCGCGGCGTACATGTGGTATGTTTTCAAGGAGATAATAGAAGAGTTTGTGTTGTTTTGTCGTAGTTTATTATTATTGTGCTTCTATGGAATATAATTATAAAAGATCTGTATAATGCTTTTGGATTTCATTAAATAAAATCATAGTTTAAGTGATGTTCCGAACATATCAAAATGATAACAGTTCGTTGATCGTGTCTGTCAGCATTCTAATTATGTCCTTCGTGGGTAGCTTTTTCTAAAGTGCTTCAGATTGTAACTGCTCGAAGCGAAGAAGATGTTGACATGGAAAGCATTTTGCGTGTAGTCGGGAGATTGCCGGGGGTGAATGAAGCTATGCCAGCTTTAACTGAAATTTCGCAATTCACGCATCCAAAGACAGTTGGGACTACCTATCAACCGGTGAAACCAAAAAAGTCCGCATTTCTCTTACATTTTTTTCTTTGTAAATATACAATGTCTTGACATGGAGGTTTTATGCAAAAAGATCTATGATTTGCTACTTTAATAGACACACAAAATCCTCATTTTTGTTTATCTCTTTATTAGGTGCTAGCGCAATGCAACTAGACTATTTATCGGTTTCTTAAAAGAACTTTATAATGCCACCTGTTATTTTGATCACGATCAATTACTTCGTTTACATCTCACCGGTTAACATGTTCTAGTTCTTTCTAAACTTTTTTATGGTCTCTCATATTACTTTAATGTTTCGACTTTATGCTGAAGAAATTCACGATATCTTTGCTCTTGCAGTGAAATCGATGCAAATGGCAGAGAAATTTTCTGGAAAGAAATAAGAGCGCAGGAGAATGATCGAATTGCTGAAGAAAGGAAGCGAGAAAAGGAAAAGAATGAAATAGCTCTTCGTGAAAGAAATGAATTAAGTGAAAGAATACATGCCCAACTGTGTTCAGAAGAAGGAACTAAAAAAACCAGTAAACCTTCAAATCCAGCAATGTGTTAGTTCAGATACTAAAATTTTTTAAAAGTAGTTTAAATGCAAAAAAAGCGTAAGAAATATTTGAAGAGTATTTGAGTATTTCAATTATAATGATGGAAGAGCTATTCGGATTTCATCAGCCGCTTTTATTTGCTTAAAATATTGCATTAAGATATTAAGAGCTATTTCGTATTTCAGTGTACTGAGATATGTGCGAGAAACGTTGATGATTGTTTGATTTTGTATCTGTGATGGAGAGTAGAATGCTTAACACTATTAAAAGAAATGAAATTTGAAATTTCTCATATGATTTGAAAACTGTGTATTTCAGATGAAAAAAACATAATTCGAGCGAATGATTTAATGCGGGTTGAAGAGGGCTTGTTCAAGAAAGTGTCGAATGAACCGCAGCAATGTATCGCAGAAGCCTATAAATTACAAAAGGTGACTGAAGAGCAAACAGCAATAAAACAAGCTTCAGGATACATTCCAACCGATGAAGGGAATGCTAATGTAATCCAAGAGAATGGTCTTGAGAACAGATCGCAGCAAAAGAGAAGTCAGCAGGAAGTTGGAATAAGCAGTTCTGTTATTTACCAAGCAGACAGAAATTGCACCCAGGAGGATACTTTGAAAGCATACTATGAAAGTGAAGTAACTCGAATAATGGGAGATGCGAAGTCGGCACATGGATTGCGTGTTATAGCTTTGTGGGATTATCAGGCTGGTAAGTTGGACGTTTCATTTCAAATTCTGTGACAAATGCTAAGCAAGCTTGCTGCTGGTTCATCGCGATGCAAGTTCTTATTTGTTGAGGAAACACGTGCTCTGAGATGAGAAATCCATGTGTTTTTTTCTGTTTTTTGTTTGAAAAATATTGTCATTTAGTGATTAAGTTTCATAAAGTATAAATTTATACTGGAATCTAATTGCCTAGAAAATTACCAATTCTTGGTTTTTAGCTGACGAAACTGAGATTTCATTCGGTCCAGATGATGTTATTACGGAAGTGGATCAAATTGATGAAGGTTGGTGGCGAGGTCGAGCTCCGGATGGTCAATATGGACTCTTTCCCGCTAATTACGTTAGTTTGTTGTGAGCAAGTGAGAGAGGAAGATTTCCAGTCCGTTTATCTAGTAAGACTTCCGTTTTTTCTAAAGAACTTTCGCTGCCAAACAAAATATATGTGAAGTTACAGATCACTTTAAGAAATGTGATACATTTCCTGATTTACTAGTCCCTTATGTATTATACAGTTGTCGTGTCTCGAATTCATTGCTGTAGAGGCTTTGTAGTTGATTACTTGCAGTTAGTTTAAGAAGTCGATTAGAAACTCATTTGAAAAGTGGGAGAACTTTGAGGTGGTGGAAGAAGTGATCAGTCTTTAGCTACTTCTTTTTCATGGCTAGTTTCTCCATCCATGCGCATACCTTATTTTCCAATAATTTCTTTTTTTTTTTTTTCGTTTTACCATGCGAATATTAGTTTTACTTTCTTATGCAATAATTCAGCCCAACCACTAACTTTCATACCGCTTTTTTTGGAAATAGTTAACCCTCATCTCTTTTGTTTTAACTTTTAAACTTCTCAATCTATCACTTTGCATACTTTTTTAGTTATCTTCTATATTTTCAATATTTGGTTACTGTTAATGGTTTCTTCTTTTCACCGTTCATTAGTCAGTTATGTCGTTCCTAGGAAATTCTGTTCTTTCATATTTTGCTCACTTTTACATGATGTCGAGAGCATAAGAATGGGATATATTCTCAGTGAGTTGTTGCGGTCCATTTGTGGAACCCGTTTGGAAAATTATCTTGAATGAATAAGTACATTCTGCCCATCCAAATTTTTGTTTATTTCTTGGGTATTGGATTTGTGTTATTATGTCCTTGGTTCAGTTAGCTTTAATTATTCTTATTACTCGGTGTTTCTGATGCAATGAATTAGAAGTTGCCCTGTGTGTTTCCAGCTCTTTACAGTGAAGCATCATCCATGTTTATGTAAATTCTCGATGTTTTCAATTCTCTCGCTCCTCATTTTAAAAATTATTGGCTTTCTATTTGACAATTTAATAAATGTGGTTTTTGTTCTTCATCAAACCTTAAATTTATCATGTCAACATCACAGTTCACGTTCTCATCATTATTTTGTTGATAACCTATTACGGAACACTCAAATAGCAAAGAACTGAACCATATGCTATGTATGGGCGCTACCTGTGTTTTAGGAATATCCCTAGAATAAAAAATTCAGTTCGACTTTTTTTATTCGGTTCCCTTGTCCGTAATTCGCTTCTTGTTGTTTGTCAGAAAACTCCCAACACTATAAGATTTACACTTTAATGTGCTGGATTTTGAAATTCAAAACCTTGAACTATACCATCCTTTAACAAACGGTGGCTAATGCGGTGCTCAAAACTGTTGGACAAATTTAACTAGCTTTTAGATCTCCAACCTTTCTGATTTAATCCTGTAATGTCGTTGGAATGATAATTGTGGAGTTAAGGAAATTTTTAAATTACCTCTGATTCTGAGCATTAACTGACTCAGATTTCATAAACATCCGTCCGCTTTGGAGATGCGAAGATATTGGTGATAAATATCGATACAATCATTAACAAAAATAGTATTACTATAGTATTGCAGGACATAATTTCGAAGTGATGGAACAGAAAGAGGAACGTGAACAATCAATTTAATAACTGTTAAAAGCGCAGTAGTGATGGGAGCACATAAAACATCGATCATTGCGTTTTCGGTCGTATGGGTGCATCTATCATGTTCGGTATTCTCTCATTTCCACTGGGAACACCTGTAGTTGTGTATGTACAAATATAGCATAGAGGAAGAGGAAAACTGAAACTGCGAATGTGAAATCGAATCGGGGAGAACAACAACGACCCGAAAAGACGACGAGGCGCAGTTCGTCAAATGACAGCGGACATTTTGTTCATCACCATATTTGCAGCAGCGGTACTGCAGCGTAAGCGCTATAATAATTTTACCAAAAATTGTTCATTACATAGTGTGATCAGTAAAAAAATTTTCAGTTAATCATTTTCATCCCCAATTCCATGCATGCTCAATACTGATAATCTGATTTGGAAATTGATGTTTATCTCTGAATTTCAGTTTGTTCTACAGACTAACTCATCATGCAAAATTTCATTTATAAAACATTACGATGATGATCATGATATAATAATCAATTCATGTGATAAGATCGTAAACAAAATTCTTATCATTTCTTTGGCTAAACCACTTCACTCAGTCGATGTGGATTCATTTGATGTAATGAAGGCTTTCTCCTATACGATATGCTTAACTAACGTTATAGATATGAGAGGAATTTGCTAACTGGAATGTACTTTTTGGAAATTGTCAAGAAGCACATTAATGCAACAAATCGGCTAAGAGTTACAAATTTAGGCTATTGCACTTTGTAGACACTGTATCGTTTTAAGGCTTTGAAGTACTAGCCATTGATGTTTGTTTTAAACTAAGAGATTTTTATAGACCTCAGTAACCCATTAAATTATTTTATTTTTTTGGTTCTGCTTTCAGTTTATCAATAATATTCAACTTTTAGCCGACGTTTTCGGAGATCACACAAATCTAAATTCATGTTTTGTTTACAAAAAAGACTATCGATTGGAACTGAGTGCAAACGATATCGAAAGTACGGAAAGCGTGGAATTCAAAGATGATTGCCTCAGATCTTGTCTTCGATCACTACTTTCCGGTGGATTCACATGTCGCTCATTGATGCATATGCCAAAAGATGAAGTCCGTTTTGCTTAAATCGATCTATTGAAGCGTGGGAGAAAAAGAATAAATTGAAAAAGGAGATTGTATAGGAGGTGAAGTGAGAGGAATTCAGATTCGAGTCTGACATTATCATAACATGACTGGATCCATTTTGAATTATCCAAGATCAAATAAGTCTTAATAAATTCAAGTCTCGCATTAAAATCCTAGTAATAATATTCTAATGATACTCGGTGGTTCGAGCAAACGATTTCTATTATTTTTCAGTCTTAAATCAAAATATAGCGCTTAGATTTGGATTTAAAATTAAAAGATACTTATTTCCAAAAAAGGATCTGAAAATTCAGGAAAGCAGATTTAATTTCTTAATTAAGAAATTTGTGGAGGCGTACTAAAATTATTTTAGGACTGTGTACTTACTGCACTGGACGGACAAAAAGCTCTCCGTACAGAACAAAAACCATCTCAGATACCTGTGAATTTCTATGAGAATTTGTGTGCCAAACTTCCAGTACAAGGTCAACGCAATGAAGTTTAAAATTATATTCCACATAGCAAACAGTAATGTTGAACCCTATTCCTAAATGGTCTATAGTTATGCACTATGTTCTCCAAAAAAGTAAAATACCGACGACTTTTCCATGACGATAGAGAATTGCAGGTGGCATTGTTGAAGGATTGCTGAGAGGTTTTCGAGGTGGTGATGGTATGATCAAGCTGACGCAAATTCAAGGATCTAATCCGTCGGTACTCGTCATTCTAGATGGCGTTCATGAAAAAACGGTCCGATTTTTGATTTTGCACTTTGCTTTTGATGGTATTGAAACACTTTTTTAGTATGTAGAAGATGGTGAAGATCCCTCAGGATCTCCAGTGCTTTTCGCCGGTGTAGTATATTTTCTTCAGGATTTTGACATCACTTACCATGAGAACGAAATTAAGGATTGTTTCAAAATGACTGCGGACGAGAAGGAGAGTGGGAAGAAGCTGATAACTCTGGATTCCGACAGTGCGGGAATGGCTATTCAGGTAATTGAACTTCTATTTGACATTTGAAAAAGCCTCTAAACTGGTGGAATTGGCAGACGTACTGACGAAATAAAGTTAAGAATCACGGGTGAAAAGCCTGAAACTTGACAGACTCGATTATTCCTTTTCCAAGATGGGGACAAAATTTCTTTTCCAAAATTTCTTTCCAAAATTTCTCGTAAAATATTTTCAAAAAATTCAAATTAAAGCCATGGACCGAAATCGAATTTGATATACTCAACGATTCAGTTCTTAATAAAACGATTACTGTCGCGGAGGTAACCACCGGTGAAGTGATCTTGTGTGGAAAATTAAAAGTGAAAGGGAGTAGAGATGAGTGGGAAAAGGCCAAAAATGGTACACAAAGGCCTAACAAAATTTGTTTAACTGGTATAATTTGTATTCTGGTGAATATTTTCATACAAATTCATTACCTGGTTTCGATTTAAGAATTGCACATAAAACTTTATACAGAGATTTGAGTTTGACAAATCATCCAGTGAAGTAATATCACTGCAAGCAATAGCACCAACAATAAAAAAATTGTCCCGTCATATAATTATATCCACTAAAGAAGTTAGGCTTATAAGGTGCTTTGAAATCGAGCAGGTATCCAGACTAAGCTTGGGTGACTTCTGCTTGCTATAAGTGATAAAAAGGATCACTCTCATCTCAATGTAGGCACCTCAGCACCAAAATCTGGTAAATCTATAGCAGCTACAATCTAATCTTTCCATCCGAATTAACCTCATCCAATTTCCCATCCTTCGTAGCGACAACTAAACAATAATTCAAATTGATGCAAAACATGTTAATGAACCACTAAAATTGATGTGTACTATCTCGAACGATCATAGCTTGCCGTTGTCCTAAAACAAAGATAAATCATTGCAAAATAAGCTCATGTGGAAACTAAACAATATTATGTTCTTGATATGAAGTAAAAGCAACATTAATGGAACCACATTTGAACAACTTACGTCCGATGTGCATCACGTCTGTGTCGCGTTGTACGAGTGGACGGCGACATTTCGGAAGATTTCGTGCCTGGAAATTAGATGAAAGTAAAAAAAAGGATATTAAGTTGACGTATTGCGAATGTTACAAAAAAAAAAAAAAAAATGCACCAGTATATGTAAGTGAAACTGCATAAACAGAGTTAATGCCTTACCCTTCGATTCTGCACTTCGGTCCGAGCCACTGCTACCCTCGTTTCGCGCTACCTTTACATTTCCATCACTGAAAACAATTTTCTCGGCTATGAAACAATTTACTTCTAAATTTTAAAGATATGACGAATTGCCTACCTATCCGCCGATTCCGCAGGTCGTTTCCATGCTCTCTCCCGCGTTTTTAAATGATCGTCCGGAGTCTTTCCCTTTCCACGGGTCTGTAAAGCATGAGAGCTAGTAATCGGATCAGTATTTGTAATTGACGCACATATAAGTTAAGCAAGAAATACCAAAGTCGATGTAACAGACTCCCGCTTACGTTCCCTTTTTTCTTCTGTTCTCGTTCTCTCTTTCTCCCTCCTCGGTGCCTCGTCTTCCACTCCTTTATTACCTCGGGTCTGTAAAAAAATTGACTGAAGAAAGATTCAAACTAATAAGTACTAATAAAAAGACACAAAACAACTGAAAATGAGAATGATGAATGGATCGTTTAATCAAGCAACATAATGGTTGTGTAGATTGGACAACGGAACAAACGGAGAAACAAAATGTAGGTGAAGAAATACAGTTATCAGTGGTTACCTTTCACTTTGATAAACAAAATTATGAAAAGTAGAAGCACGCCTAAACGTAACCTAAGCACTTTAACAGAAAAAACTAAAATGAATGAACAACATCAACCGAATGCTTTTTAGAAAATCACCCACTTTTTTGTGAGAGGGAAGAGTTTCCGAGTGAGAATTTGATGGTGGTGAACCCACTTCACCCTCTTCCATTTTTAGCTCTTCTTTTTCCCGGTGTCCTTCCTTTCTAATTTCGCTACGACGTAATTGCGACTCCTCGTTACCCCTCTGGGCTTGCAGTTGCGATCGATCCTCTCCATCGAAAACTTCTGGAAAGGCTTAAAGCTTTTATGAGTATGATCAAGAATAAACAATTGTAAGAATGAATAATGAAAAGAACAAAACTAATCAGTAATTACTTAGTTTTTTCTTTGCTATGAGTTCAGCAGGAGGTGGCTCCGAAGGTTTCCGTTTTTCATCAACTGCAACTGGAAGTTTGCGCAGCTCTGCTGCTCCATTGGTCGGCCTTCGAAGTTCAGTAGTATTCCCCTCCGCGGAGTTTTTCTGTTTGCTTAACTCACTAATTTCCATAGCTGAACTTTTTGTTGCAGCTTTTACATTCGCAGTTCCATTTGCATTTCTCGTTGCACCTGCACGCGTTGTCTTCTTTGTTATATCAGTTAGCCGCTACAAAGTTGGCATGTCCATAAAGATAATAACATGAACAAAGAAGTTCTTGAAAATTCCAAAAAAAGTTAATTCATAAGAATGGATTTTAAACAACCTTAGATTCTGGTGACGCATCATACGATATGATGCCATAATTAAGTGAAAACAGGGTTTGTATAAATAAAATTTACTGAAGTAAATGCTAATTCACTCAAAGGTTAGATTGTTGATGGTTATAACTTACAACTTTATCTGAACTAAAATGGATATAACATTAATCCAATAAATTTTAGACTCTAAACCAAGATTTTGAAACACCTTAACTTGGAGATTTAAAAAAGAAAAATGGTTACATTATGGAATTGCGATTCGGTATATGTATGTGTTTTGCGCATTCGTAAATGACCTGCATACGAGGCGGCCATCAAAGATAGGTCATCTCTACGACCCTTCTCCATCTCATGCACTTTGTTCACGGTCCTTTCAATGTTTGCGATGTGGTTTTCGATTAGTGGGAAATATGCCAACATCTAAAATATCTATAAGTCTGAATGCACAAAGCTCGTTAGTCATGATCAACTAGAAAAGCAAATGTAGAAATCACTATCTCCAATTTTATTTTACTCTCTCCAACATACAGTCGTCCTCTCCCAGAAGTTTGACAGATAAATAAGGAGAATTTTTCACCTTAATCATGACAATTAAACAATTTCTCATCATTACATAGTTTGAACCATCCAAAATTCCGAGACATGATCGAGTCATTCTGTACTGCCATTTATGACACAGAGTTCTAAAAACATCATTTAAAGAATTCTAAACTTCATTAAAAACTGCAACGAAATGTGATTTTCAATCTCTTTGCAAAAAAACTCTTTTTGTAAACCTCTACTTTTGTAAAGAAAAAAAAGCTTTTCGTAAATCCAATCCTCTTTGTAGAAAACAGTCATTCGCATGAGCTTACCAAAATTAATGCATGGTACCTGTATGATTCGTAATTCATTCCATCACTAATACTCTCGGCATTTGTTGCTTCTGGATTTCTCATGTGCAATTTGGTCATGAAGCCAGGGAAGCGATAACATTCCTGAGATTTTCTTTCTTGTAAAATTTCTGATCTATTTAATTCATATTTCAAAGAATAAAACAGTTCCCTTTATCCTTTCATTTCTCATTCAATAAACATACCTTATCGAAAATCACTTTATCGCCATGCCAATGCTGCACAGTTTCAAGTACAAGTGCTAGAAATCGTCCCAAACAATTCGCTTCATTCTCGGTTAGCGTAGCCAGTATAGCACCAATATCGTTGAACAGCTAAAAAGCATGTAACTACTGGCAGCAAAAAATCTGACAGAGGAATAAAGCAAATGCGTGGATGTACTGCAACCTTATCAAAGAAAAAAACAGTCTGGAAGAAGCCAGTTCGTTGCTGATGAAGTAAAAAAATAAAGTGAGCGCAAAATGCAGCATCCATATCGGTAAAGATCGCACGTGGCAAAATACAATGCTGCAGAAACCGTGCCATTTGCGTACCGCGAAGCTCTGAAATTTAAAGATTGGAATTTCTGATGTTTCAACTTAAATTGATATGTATTAGGACGCGATTGCAGTCAATCAGATTTTCCTCCTAAGCAGCCTGAAAAGCTAGTTGTCAAGAGATAATAACGCATTTACCGGTTCTATCGACCATTATTTTTATCGGTCAACAGTAAGACAGTGCTCCCAGTTATGCCTCAAAATTACATTCCATTCCTACATACCATGAAATAATCAGGTTACGGAGAACAGAGATCAATTTAATGGGACAAGAAACTACCCACTTACTTGGGCTACAATCAGCAAATAATAACTCCTTGTCGTGCCTCAAAATATTTAAAATGCGTTCCACATGATCACTCTGTTTCTTCAACTCATCGGTTAGTTTTTTCTCCACGTTACGCAACTGCTCTTCTTCTTTTGCTCTTTTTGTTTTACTCTAAATGTATAAAACTCCAACTACAATTCATTCCCGGAATTGAAGTCACAGCGAAAGGACGCTCCCAGGAAACTCACATACAGAATTACAGAAAAACATAGTTTAATTTGAAGAATTCATTTTCTTAATTGCACTCAAAATAAATAATTGGGCCTCTTATTAGTGGCGAACTCATCCACTATTAACGGCTTTTTTACTGAATGCTCGCAATTAATAATAAAGTAGGTTTGATATTACTACCAAAATTCTAATTTCTTACAATTTCAGCATTTTCAGTAACAAGAGCCAAAGATCTGCGAATACGTTGCAATTCTCGTTCATAAGTGGTTTTCGGAACAGAAATATCGTACATAGATAGTACCCAGAATATTGTAAATATTCTATAAACCAAACTCTTTCATTTATAAGACCAACAAACAACCTTAAGGACTTAATTTCTTCATTAACGCTCTTCGACTGTATTCTAAATTCAATATACAAAAAATTATTTTAAGAATATTCTATATTCATGTCCAAGAAATTATTTTAAGAATCCTGAAATACGTAATACATGTCGAAATATAAAATCAAGCTACCAATTTTAACAAAAAAACTTCAACATTATTCATTAATCAACCAAACCTTCACATACATCGATTAGACTTTATTACCGCTGTAACTTACATGAACTGTAACAATTTGTTCTTCTATTTTGATAAACACTACGATTAAAAAATGAACATGAAGTTTACTCACTTGGATGAAATGTCAGCCCAAATGAAATCAGGCAAAAGAGATCGAAGGTTTGATTCTAACTCGCCAATCATTTCATCAAAAGCATTCCGAAACAAGGCTAACTTGCGATTGGAATCCAATTTCATTTTGCTTCCATCTGATTCGCGAAATGACTTGCGGCTTTTGTCGAAATTACTCTATAACTTTTATTTCACACAAATTTAAATATGAAAGGAGGAGTCCAATAGGAAGACTCGGCAATTCGTTTCAGACTGTAGCAAATGCTACTAACAATATTCACTCAGTAAACAAGGCTGTGGTTGTCAGATATCTTTAAAAAGATTGTTTTAAGAAAAATTTACGACCCAATTTGCAGGTAACGTAATTGCTAGGATGGTAATGTTCTTGTCATGA